AAGCCTCCCTGGGTCCAGCGGTCCCTTTGAACGAGACAGGTGAGGACAGTCTGAGGGAAAAGGTACAGGTGGCCATGCCTTGTGTTGAGCCTCCCTTTTGTTCCTGCCTTTTTGATGGTGTGGGGAGTTCTTCAGCCAACAATAGATGTTTATGTATGTTTTCTTAGAGCCTATGTTTATTCACAGCCTGCAAAGGGGAGACCATGAGATTTATTCCAAAAGTGCAGTGAGTTAAAAGGGACAATTAGGGGAGCAGAAAGAGATATCGAGCATGGAGCTGTAAAGGATATTTTAATGCACAAAGAGTTCTTGAGATATTTTCCAAGTCGACAGAAGGTATAAGAAAATTGGCCGATTACAAGCTGATAGTGGGGGATTGGTGACATGGGGTGGAGGAACGGGCTAAAGTCCTACGTAGAGGAAGGTGAGCCCAGAGAGCAGACTGGGAGGACATGAGCCAGAATGTAGGCACAGCCAGGTCAAGAGGTTCAACAATAGATGTTGGCCTGGACACCACCAAAATGGGCACTCACCTCAGTCAATCAAAGAATATGGACAGAGAAAGGCTGGCATCCCCTGGGTCAGTGTGGAGTAGGGCCCTGCGGAGCTGGGTCCCAGAAGGGACCAGCAGGGACAACCTTGGGAGTGGTGGTGGTGAAAATATGACGAAAGATTTGCTGCTGCCTCCAGGGAGCCCTCCCAGCAAACGTGTCCTCTCCAACCCCCAGCCCTACATCTCATCCTCTGAGAAGCTTTCCTGGCCACCCCCGCCGGCCCTCTCGAACTCGCCCGCAGGCCTTCTGGAACTGCATTTGCCATGGTGGCAGAGTGCTGGGTGATTAGTTAGGTGACAAGTTAACATTTGCTTAATGGGATTCTTGGCTCCCTGGTAATGAACAGCACCTACCAGGAGAGAAAAGGGAAGATGCAGTCTGGGGTGAGGTTGGGGGGGGTGGTTCTAGGGATTGCTGACGGTCAGCCAAAGCAGGCACAGATAGACGTGGCCGCGGGGGTGTTGGGTGGCCACGCCTGGAAGCAAGGGAGGGGCTGAGGGCTGAGCCCCTCATGGATGGGAAAGGGGGGGGCACGGGAGATGAAGCGGCTGCGGGATACTTTCTGAGCTTGGAAGCAGCAGGTGTCTGGGAATGGGACTCCGGCCCAGGCAGATTTCCAGGGAGCGCTCCAGCTTGCTGGCACGAGGGAAGGATCTGGCTGAGCAGAAGAGGCAAGTTGGGATGATGAAACCCACTGTTGAGGAACATTGGCAAGCATGCCACGAGTGGGGACCGCGTGCCTGGAGAAACGCTGGGGGGTGGGGGGGGGTAGGGAAGAGGACTGCAGAGGGGGCCACACCTCCACTGCCGAGCAAATCCAAGTCCCTGAGTAGGATTCCCCCCAGCCTTCCCATTGCCAGTCTTGCCTCCCATGCCCCCCCACCCAGGGTTTCCAGCCCTTGACTCACAGCTCTTTGCTGATACCCCAAACCAGCATGGGGCTGCTGTGGCCCTCCAGCCCTCTGCCTGAAATACTCCCCACACTCTTCTTTGGCCACCTCCTCATCCTCTGAGAGCCACGGGGTGTCACCTCCTCCTTGAAGTCCTCCTAGACTGTCCTCAGTTGACTTTCTCATGATTCGGGGTGCTAACAGAGGCACCAGTCTCATACCTGTTTCCACATCCAGACCCTGTGCTCCTAATAGGAGAGTCACATCTTCCCACTTTTATGTCCCCAGAGCCTAGGCCAATGGCTGGCACATGTAGGCCCTTGATCAGCACTTGTTGAATGAAAGGTAAGGAACCAACTGAGCTCTGGGGTCAAGGGAAGAGCTTCCATGGAGAGCCACTAAGACCACCAGTGGCCACCCAGCCCCTCTCCCAGGCCACTCCCTAAAGTGGAGGACTGTGTGGCAGGAGGGGAGAGAGGGAGGAGGGGAGATGGCTCTCTTCCAGGGCGCAGGGAATGTGCTGAGCGAAGATGGTGGAGGGGCTGGCCCCATGGGGAACGATGAAGGGGTGGCCTCAGCCCCTCGGAGGAGGACAGGATTCCCAGGGGCAAGAACCCACATCGCCCTTCCGTGAACCACCCAGGAGGGACGCTGCGTCCAGCCCTTGGCTTGTCAACTTGCTCTGGCGCTCTGGGCAATGGTGTCATCGTAACTGCGTAGCGTGTGAGCCTCTGAGTGACAAGTGATGTCATCCACAATAGAGCTGCTTTTATTCCCTCTACCTCTTAGAGGAGAGAGCTGCTAAAAATATACCTGGCGTCCTGGGCCCCTCTGCCTTGCCTCTAACAACAGTCGGCAACCAGAGACCGTGCTGCACTTGACAGAAGTGGATCATTTAAAAAACATTAGCATTTCTCGTACTGACATTTCACTTTCATATTACAGGACTAAGTCTTTAAAAAAAAAAATTAATAAAGTGCTCGGACTCGATTTTCCCACTGAGGGCCTTGCTGTCTAAAGTTGGAAATGAAGTCAACAAAATAACAACATCCTCGGGTTCCAAGGGACAGCTGGGCCCTGACACCCGCCTGGGTAAGAGCAGGCAGGCCACCGGAGAGCGGACGATTTGTTCTGCCGTCACCGAACTCCCTTTAGTGCATGTTTCCAGCTTTGGACTGAGAAAGATTTGTTCAGCCAGGCCTGAAAACACAGCCCTCCCCTCTTTATCTGGAGAACTGCCTCCTTTCTCTGAAGCAAGAGAGGCAGGGACAGCCTCCAGACCCCGTCTGCTGCCGTCTGGGTTGGTCCCTAGCCTCCTGGAAACCCCAGTGGGCCCCGGGAACTGGCAGCTCCCTTCCAGGCACTCCTGAGCCCCCGAACAGTCAACAGCTCAGGTGCCGCAGGTGAGGCTCTTGGGCACAGGCCAGGAAGGATCCAGGACCGGCCTGCTCCAGGGAGAGCCACGGAGATTGGGCTGACCCAGCGCAGCCAGAGTGTAGGAAGTGAGTCATGTCTGTGAGGGCGAGGGAAGGACCATGGAACAGAGAACAAGCGTGTGTGTGTGTGTGTGTGTGTGTGTGTGCGTGCTCGCACGCGTGTGCACGTGTGCATCCCAGTGAGTCAGTGTGCCTCTGCCCCACACGGCTCCTCCCACCAACAAACGTGCTGTGCCCGGCCAGCCTCGCCCACCCCACCAAAATCTGGGATCTGCCACCATTTCAGGAATGCAGGGTTAGGAAATGAGAAACAGGGTTCTTGTCCAAGAGAAATTTTATTATTATTATTTTTCTCTCTTAATTGGATTCAGTGTTTTCTTGTTCCTCACACACATCCTCTCTGGTGGGGAGTTCAGGTTTGTGGAAAGCTCAAAGGAGATTGTGTCTCCAGGGGCCCTGGCCGGCAGCATGGCCAGACTTGACCAGAGCCGCTGTCCCCTATTTGGGCTTGCCTGCCCACTCCCTGCACGTCCCCATTCCTGACCCCTGAGTCTGGCCCCCCCCAACCTCTGCCCGTCTCTGGGCATCTTCAGAAGGGCCAGGAGGGATGGGGCCTCCGTTAATGCAGAAGTGCCTGAGATGGTTCTTGAAATGCCCTCTTGTCCCCCTTCTGCTAAGGCCACCTGATGCTTTCCCTCCTGCCACCTATACAGGACCCTTGCTGGGATGGCCATCAAAGAGCCTCAAGGAAAAATTCAGCAGCTGAGCCATGTTGGAGGCCTGGGCTCATGCCCAGAGTCTCCCTGGCCTGTCCAGACCGTTGCTGGCAAAGCGCTAGGCTGACGACACTGTCCAGCCTGTTGGGCTAACACTGTGGATGCTTCCTGCCCGTCAGCAAAAGAGACCCAAAGTCCCTTCCTTCCCCTTCTCCGTCAAGCCCGGCCCCCGGGCCTGGCTCCCTGATGTCCAATGAGCTGCTTCTCACTTCTCGCCCTGACGACAACAGCTAGCTAGTACGGTGGGGGTTATGGGATGCTCTGGGGCGGCAGCCGGACTCGTGTTGCATATAAAAACAAGGTGATGCTCTGAACATCTAAGAAGATTGGTCCCCTGAAGTGATTCTTGCTGCCTCCCCTTCTCCCTGACCCCTCCCACTGACCCTTTGCCCTAGGCCCTGGCAAGCCCAGGTTACAGGGTGACTGTTGTTGCCAGGTTGGGATTCTAGACAAAAAATCCTGTGACTCTTTTCTTGCTAGAAATCACCAGTACAATCCTTAGTTCAACAGATAATAGTTTTCCGTATAGTTTATAAACATGAGAAGACATACAGTCCGGTAGGGGAGTGGGGCGGGGGGGGGGGGGGGGGGGGGGGGGGGGCGGTGCTGTGCATTTGTGTGTATATATATGTAGAGAGTGTGTATATATATAAGTGGACGTAGTTATAAAACTGCACCTCCTGTGAGAGCCTCACTGCACTTGACGCAGTTCTAAATTTCAGCCTCTGATGATCTTTCCTTTGGTAACTGGTTCTTGGAGCCCAGCAGCTAGGCCTGGGTCTGCCAGGGTAGCCTGAGACGTCAGGAATGAGGCCTTACCCCCGAGGGAGGGACTGAGGGTTGGATTTAGGGCAGGCTGACTACGTGGCCTCAGGCAAGAGCCAAAATGCTACCTGCTCCTGTGCTCCCAGGTGGCTGGTGGAGCCAGCCTTTTGGGTGAGCCTCGTCTGTTCTCCTGAGTCCTGCTTCCTCCAGGAGTGGCGGGGGGCCCTTCAGACCTCTCCAACGACCGGGATTCCACAGAGCCCAGCTCCTGTGGGGCACCGTCCCATGGTTGCTAATGAAGGATTCACTTTGCGTGCTTTAACCGCCTTGCTGGATGGGTGCTGTCCATGGGTGCTCGGCAGGGCCTGGCCGGGACAGCAGGATGTGATGCGCTAATCCCTTCCCACTTGGGGCTGTACACTGTGGGTTTATAATCCACCGGGCAGGGCCCAGACAGCAGCCAAAGGCTTTACCAGCCTTTGCCTGAAACCCAGCAGATCCTCCGCTTGTTAAAAAAAAGAAAAGAAATTCTGTTCCTTGGTGGACATTGGCAGTGCTGGGTGCTGGGGCCGCAGGTCCTCAGCGGAGAGTGACCACCAGCCCCAGTATCCAGGCCAGGAGCGAGGCTCCCAGGGCACGGCCCGAGGAGGCCTGCTGCACCCCGCTGGGGGCACGGATGGGGGTCCTGCGGGCACACTTGCCCTTCCGCTTGGGCCGCGCCGTGGGCATGATGTCAAAGCTGAACTTGTGCTGGTAGTCGGGGGCGTAGTCCTGCAGCTCGGGGGTCTGCTTCCCGGCGCCTGCCTTGGACACCTGGTTGCGATTCCTGTGGCTGGTGCAGTTCTTGCCGGGCTTCCTGTAGCCCGGCCGGGAGCCCGGCAGATGGCCGTGCGGGTGACCCTTGTCCCTGGCGGGGCCGTGGGGCGGGTAGTGTTCCTTGCGGGCGGCCCTGTCGGTGGTGGTGAGCGTGTGTGACTTGATCTGGTGCGGGGACGCCGGCCCCGTGCAGTTCCGGAAGTCCTCGGCCCTCAGCAGCTTCAGGTCCTGGCCTTGCCGTGACTCGGGGGACACACAGGGGACAGCAGAGCTGGAGCCGCGGAACCTCCGCAGCCATTCCCACAGGGAGTGCGCCCGGCAGCCGCAGTCCCAAGCATTCCCGTTGAGGCGGAGGAACTCCAGGGCAGCCAGGGGCGCCAAGCAGTCGCCCTGCAGCTCGGAGAGACTGTTGTTGAAGAGAAAGAGGGTGGTCAGCCTGCGGAGGTCGTGGAAAGCCTTGTGGTGGACCCACCGCAGCTGGTTCTCGTGCAGCAGGAGCCGGTCCAGGTTCACCAGCCCCCGGAAGGTGTCCTGGCCCAGGCTCCACAGCTTGTTGCCATGGAGAAACAGGTGGCTGAGGTTGACCAGGTCCACAAAGATGTCGTCCTGGAGGTACTCGATGTGATTGTCCTGCAGGTAGAGGTACTGCAGGCTGTGCAGGCCACTGAATATGCCTGCCGGCAGGGCACTGAGCCCGCACTTATAGAGGTAGAGGGCGTGGAGCTTCACCAGGCCCTGGAAGGTCTCCGGGGCCAGCGTCCGCAGCTGCCGGTTGTCGCCAAGGTCCAGCTCCTCCAGGTGCACGAAGCCCTCGAAGGTGTTGGGGTCAATGTAGGTGATGTTGTTGGAGTAGATCCACAGGGTGACCATAGCGGGGCTGAAGTGGCCCTGCTGGAGGAGGGTGATGCGATTGTTCTGCAGGAAGATGCGTTCGCTATCCTCCGGGATGCCCTCGGGGATGGCGGCAAAGTTGTGCGCCTGGCAGCTGACCGTCATGGGTGCCGGGTAGCACACGCAGTCCCGCGGGCAGCCGCCGCCCAGGGGCAGCTCCCCGGCTAGCAGCAGCAGCAACAGTTCCACACAGCACCCTGGCGGGGAGACAGAGCACAGCCAGGTCAGGGTCGGCGGGGGGACGCGGGGGACAGACGGAGTGCGGGGCTGGTGGGTGTGCCACCCTCCCAGGCCAGGCTCTGTCCTGGCCTGCGCCGAACTCGGCAGTCTGGGACGGCAGTCCCCTGGGGGAGGCTCCAGATGGGAGGAAGGCAGGGCTCAAGCCCAAGCCAGGCCCGCACCTGGCGTGAGATAACACTGGGGCCCTGCACCTGTACTGGGGGTTCTATTCCCCAGCCTGGGCTGCCCGCCATCCTTAGTCCTGCCCCCTCAGGCTCTGTCAGCCCTGCGGGGGGTGGGGGGTGGGGGTCACAACCCCAGGCCACAGAAGCCAGCCTCTGGTTCCTGTTCCAGCTCTGTCACTCACTCGCTGTTATCCACATGAACAGATAGTGGGGCAGACTCCGGGTCTAGCAAAGTAAACATACGGAGGCCTGAGGAGTCTCTGTATTTATTCTCAATAACAAGGCAAGCATGCATGCACGATACCAAAGTTCATCTCAAAAGAGGTCTCATTTACCATGCCTCCCGCATCCTCAAATATGTGACAAACTCTCTGGGCCTCAGTTTCTAAATAATACTAGTTGTCCCCTCCAGTGCCGTGAGGATGTACTAAGAGGACCCATGTGTGTGGACTGGGGGAGGCATCAGGGTGGCCAGGCTCTGCACCACCCCCACTCCCCCCCAACCAGGAGCTAGCTGCTGCCCCCCATCAGGTCCACCTTCTGGCCTCTCCCCTCTCCCCACCTAAACTCCCAGGCTGTGGCTGCAAACCAGGCCTCGCCTCTCGACTGTCCCGAGCATTTCCTCTGTAGCTTCCCTCTAATTGGGCATTAATTAGGCATTCGTTAATGGATCCTTAAAATAATTTATTTTCGGATGTGTCCAGCCTGTGGTCGGATAATAGCCCCGTGCTCATTATCGGAGCAGCCTCATTATGGACGATCATCATTACCTGCCTTTTTCCAGGGTCGCAGCTGCCCCAGGCTGCCCGGCAGGCGCGCCGGCGTGGGAAAGACAGGCTCCAGGCTGGTAGAGCCCCACCCCGCAGGGCCCGGCAGCCACCTCATCCCCGCCTGGGTTGGCCTCTTGCCCGTCCCTTCCAGCTTGGCCAGCCGGGCCTCTGGGGAGAGGTCAGGGCTGCCGGCAGCTCAGCCGAGTCTCGCTGCCGTCAGCGATGCCCAGAGCATGTAGAAAGAACCTACCCTCCCGGCCGATCTCAGACCCGCCCCACTCCCAGCCTCAGAGGGGCCACTGGGCCAGGCTCTGAGGCCCTGCTGCTGCCCTAGTCTGATGGTCAGGCTCAGGCAGGCCTAGCCACCACCCCCTCGTTCCTGGCAGAAATGGCATCGTAAATAAGTGACAGTTCCCAGCTGTTGGGAGTTATGGGCTCCCAGAGAGTGGCAGCTGCTTCCCGTCCCCCTGTAATCACCCGGCTTCCACCAAACGTTTCCAACATAAAAATCATCGCATATAATTTTGTTTTTGCATAATTGGGTTCGGTTGCGATTTCAGAGCAATTATGACCTCGGTGGCAGTGGTGGCGGTGGCAGTGCAGCTGTGAGGAACCTTCCTGGGCTGGGCTCCTGCGCTCCATGTGGCTCCTGCAGTGTCTTCAGTCACCACGACCATTGCACAGCCTGCAGGCTAAGCCTGAGGCTGGTGCCTCCGCAGCCTCAGTTTCCCTCTCTGTAACGTGGGTAGGAGATGATCGCTATGCTAGCCTGCCCCACGTGGAGGCTCGGGTCTGACCTCCAGGCCCCCCCACTCCCCACCTTGGTCTGGTGGGGGGGGGGGTCCCAGCCCCGCAGGGGGAAGCAAGAGTGTGGACAGGGGGGGACAGGAGCCTGGACCCCAAGCTTCAGCTGACTCTCGGGGAGCCTGCCCGATGCCTCGAGCCACCAAAAGCCAGGGCTGGGATGAAGGCCCAACTCACACTGTCTGCACCTTCCACAGAGACTGACACTCCCTTTCCCTACTCTCAGCTCGCACTCCTTACCCCTGGCCAGGCTGCTGTCTCCCAGGGTCCCTGCCCCCGGGAAGCGGCCCCTGCTCTGCCGCTCGGTGGGGCGATCACAGTGCTCACTGTGCTGAAAGGGACCAGGCCACGGCCACGCACCTGTGGTTGTGGGACACACAGTGCCACACCAGACCCTGGGGGCGGGGGGTGGGACTGCAAAGAAAGAGGCTTTTCCTGAAGTCTGGCAGCAGAGGGACACTCACTGTGGGGGCAGGGGTAAGCTGTGGCAGGCTTAGCACTAATACCGCTCGACATTTGTGCAGCTTATGAAGTTTACAAAGTGCTTCTGCTCGCGATGCTCTGATCCTCAGAATTACTGTGTGGTCGTAGGGGGTTCTCCTGCCCCCTGACCTGATGGGGGCAGACGACCCTTCTCCCTGCTGTTGTGGCTATGTCTCTGTGAGGCCCCTGGGCTGGGGTTCTCTCAAATGTCCCCAGAAAAGCTGGGGGACCCCATGGAGAGCCACACCCTTTCCTTAGACAGGTGCCCCAGGGAATGTTGGGGTACAGGGAAACTAGGCGGAGATCCCCATTTCGGGGAAAAGCCAAATGCCCAAAAATCCAGGTCGGGGCAGAGCGGCCAGCTTGTGAACACACTTTGGCAGGTGTGTTGGGTAAATGCAAGACCCAGGGCAGGAGCCACCCATTCCCTTCCTCCCAGAGGGTCCCAGAAGGAGGCAGGGGCCCCGGCCAATGCTTGGAGCTGCTCTCTGTCCTTCAGTACTGCCCAGATGCCAGGGACCCAGGCCAGGGAAGCTGCCCTTGCACTACCCCTGCCCCCTTCCACTGGGTGCTGGGGTGGGTCTCAGCTGAGTCTGCTTCTCCACCCCGGAAGCTGGTCACATCTCCAAGGCCCCAGACTAGCCCTCCCAGACAAGCTCACCCACCTCTGGCACCCCTGCCTGAGCCGGCGGGTGCCCCGGGTCTGGAAACCTGCTGGGTTTCTTTCCAGGCAGTAGCTACAGCTTCTCCTGTGCCCCCTCCGTGTGCTGGTGGGAGCCCCAACCCACTGATTGCCTGATTAATGTACTAACACCGAGGCCGGTGCCTTTGCCGTGCATTTTAAGACTGCAAATTAGCAGCCATGTAAGTCTCTGAGGAGGAGCCTTGCGCCCCCTCCCATCTGCTTCCTCAGCCCCCTCCTGGGTGCGGCAGGGGTTGCTCTGCCTGAGGGGGCTGAAGAAAGCCAGGCTGGGCTCCCCCTTCCTCAGGCTCTCCTCCTTCAGCTCTCCTCCAGGGGCATGCACCCGGACTCCCAAGCTCCTGCCCCCCCCCCCATCTGAGCTCACCTGAGGCTCCTCTGCCTCATTCATTCCTTCCTCCATTCAATATTTGCCTCAAGTCCTAGAATGTCCAATGTGATAGGGCAAGGAGGAGCCCAGGGATGAGCCAGGGTGAGTCCTCCTGGGTTCATTAGCAGATAGGAGGTCTCACAATACCAGGCAGTCTGACCAGGTGCCGGGGCCCAGAGCAGGTGCTAATGGGTGTGTGTGTGTGTGTGTGTGTGTGTGTGTGTGTGTGTAAGAAGCTCAGGAAACATCCCTGCCACCCCTACACCACCTCCTCCACTAAGCCCTCTGCTCCCCTGCCAGTATAGAGGATACACAGTACAGATTCTATTGTATGCAAGTTCTCCTTCCTCCAAACCCCAAAACCCTTCACCCGCTGGGCAGCGGGTGAGTGGCCTGAGCATGGTCAGCACCTCACCCAGTCTATTCGGCAGCCCCAGATGTGCTTATGCATGTCCCTGTGGGGCTGGACCTAGCGGGGTGGGTGGGAAAGGCATAACAGGAAGAAGGCACAGTGTGTACAAAGGCACTGAAGTATGGAAACCGGCAGTGTGCCCACATCTTACCCCAGTCCCCCTCAATCAGCCCCCAAGTAGCCAGAGATCCCAAAGAAGCTGTAACACCAGCCCTGCTAGGCTGGGGAAACCCAGGCCTGGGGAGGCCAGAAAGGTCCCCATTGGAACCAGCACTGACAGGACCCCTGCTCCCGTCCCAGGCCAGATGTTTAGAAATGTCTAGAATGGCAGGGGTCCTCAGCTTCCCCCCAGGAAGGGAGCTAACCAATGAGGACCCACTCCTAAACATGCACCAGGTTCTTTACATGGAAGCCCCATACTACCACACCACTGCAGAGGAAATGAGGCACCCGCAGAGAAGTGGCCACACAGCTGGTGAAGAGGGTGGGAGAGCAGGCCTCACGCCCCTGACCTCAAATCCAGGAGCTCCAAGTTGCATGGGGCAGGCAGGGCAGCCTCATCTGACCTGAGTCAGACCTCATCAGACCTCCCCCTGACCTGAGTCTGCCACCTGCTGGCACCAAAGCGGCCACCTCTGTCGACACCCCCGCAGGGACAGCCCCATGGACTGGAATCCCCCCAAGGCCCCCAGGCAGGTCCCTAGGGGCTCTCTGAGCCTCAGAGACTTGTCAGCCATGTGGCCTATCCTTCCGGCTCCACAGCCCGCCCTCCCTCTGCACAGGGCCAGGCATCCCCTCCCTCCTGCCCGGGCCTTGCCAGCTGCTCCTCTCTAAGCCAATCGATGCTAACCAAATGGCTCTGCCGGTCAGATAACAGCCTCGGGCCAGGCTGGCTGTGCTCACAGAGCGACTGGCGCCCCAGGCCACTTGGCACTGTCCCTGCACGCCACACCCAAGTGCAGGCCACTTCCTATAGCGCCCCCGCCCGGCCCAGCCCCGGAGACGAGGCAGCCAGCCTGGGCAGAGCAGGGCTTCCCTCCGCGGGCCCCCGCTGCAGATGCCTGTAATCCACCTGCCTCCCCATCTCTCCGTCCATCCCACGCAATCTGTCCGAAGGTGAGCCGCCGTTCCCCGGCCCCCCAGGCCTCCTCCACACGCATCTTCTCCGTCTCAGGTGAAGGCGGCTCCTTCATTCTGGCAGCTGGGGTGAGAACCTCAGAGTCACGCCGACTCCTCTCTCTCACCTCATACCCAGTCTGCCGGGAGCCCTGTGGGCTCAGCTTCAGGACATACCCAGAACCCACCCTTGTCTCCCGGCCACCACCCCAGCCTGGGCCGCCATCATCTCTTGCCTGGCCCATCGCCATAGTCTCCTGCGTGGTCCCCGGGCTCCCACCCTTGCCCCTACATCTCCACTGACACAGCAGCAGAAGTCTGAGTCAGAGCACGTGGCGCCTCTGATCAAACCCCCTTGGCCCCATCGTGCTCAGTAAGACCTTCTAGTCGTCACTAGGGCCCTGGCCGCCGCCTCTCCTCCCTCCCCCAGCCTTTTCTTCTCCCTCTTTTCACGTGCTGGGCGCGTCCTGCCTCCAGCCTTTTGCTGCTCTCTCCTTCTGGAGCACTGCCCATGCTCCAGGATACCTGTGGGGCCCCTGCCCTCACCCCAACATTGGGGTCTCTCACAGAGTCACTTTCTCAGTCAGGCCTTCCTTAGCAGCCTGTCTTATTTATTTTTTACATTTTTTTAGAGAGAGACACCACAAGCTGGGGAGAGGGGGAGAAGGATAGAGGGAGAGAGAGAGAGAGGAAGAGAGAGAATCCCAAGCAGGTTCCATGCTCAGCCTGGAGCCCGATACGGGGCTTGATCCCACGACCCTGGGATCACCACCCAAGGTGAAATCAAGTCGATTGCTCAGCTGACTGAGCCACCCAGGCACATCCCCAGCAGCCTATTTTAAATGGTCTCCTTCAGTTTAATTTTCCTCCCTAATATTTATGCTCTTCTAATAAAGTACATCACTTATTTATTTCTCTTGTTCCTTTTCTGTCCCTTCCCACTGACGGTGATTTTGTCTGGTATGTTCCCTGCTGTGCCCTAGGGCCTAAAACGGTGCCTAGAACACAGTCATGTTTTTCTTTCTTTCTTTCTTTCTTTCTTTCTTTCTTTCTTTCTTTCTTTCATGTACGTTTGTTTATTTATTAATTTACTTATTTATTTTTGAGAGAGACAGAGAGTGAGCAGGGGAGGGGCAGAAAGGGAGAGGGGGAGACACAGAATCTGAAACAGGCTCCAGGGTCTGAGCTGTCAGCACAGAGCCCGACACAGGGCTTGAACCCACAGACCTTGAGATCATGACCCGAGCCAAAGTCGGATGCTTAGCCAACTGAACCACCCAGGAGCTTGCTATGTGTTTCTTTTAAGAAGAAAACCCTACGGGGCTCCTGGGTGGCTCAGTCGGTTGGGGGTCAGAGTTCGCTCAGGTCAGGATCTCACCATCTGTGAGTTCAAGCCCCGTGTAGGACTCTGTGCTGACAGCTCAGAGCCTGGAGCCTCCTTTGGATTCTGTATCTCCCTCTCTCTCTGCCTGTCCTTCTCTGTCTCTCTCAAAAATCAGTAAACATTAAAAAGAAGAAGAAGAAGAAGAAAACCCTAGGCCAAGGGCCTGGCTCATAGTAGGTGCTCAATAAACATAGTGGTTCTCATTAGTACTGAGGTCTCTAATAAGAGTAGATTGGGCCTTGGCTTTCTCTGGAGGGCCCCTGGGCCATCACAAGGGGACAGATGGTGAGGAGCACTCTGCAGGGGCACATACACATCAGGCCTGTCCAACACGTGGGGCAGGTGATCAATGTGGCTTTGCCCAGGACTCCGGATTTTCAGTGCTAAAACCGTAAAGTCCCAAACAAACCAGCACAAGTCAGTCACCCTACCTAGGGCCAAATTGCACCCCCCCCCCCCAAACACACACAAAAAATCTCTGGGCACAGGCAGGGGAGGGGACAAGCAGGCAGGCATGAAGCAGGAATGTTCTCTAGGCACCCACACCCACACCTCAGGTCTAGTGCCTGCAGCCCCGGAGGCAGGCCTGGGCCTAGACAGAGCATGCGTATATGTGTGCACATGGGTCTGGGCATGCCTATGCACATGTGTGCTTCTGTGCGTTTACCTGTGTGTGTACACGGCCAGGTGTGCACGTGTTCACAGCATCTGCGTAGGCACATGTGTGTATGCAAGCACATATTTGTCTCTGGATGCCACCAACGGGCTGGCAGCCTGGGTCCTTTCATCCTGCAGCATCCCTGAGCTCCGGCCCAGAGAGAGGGCCCGGGTCTGTGATATCCGCGTCTTATCTCGGCACTCACTCT